AACTGAAATACGAAATTCTGCCGAGCCGCTGCCTTTAAGCGGATCAAGTGGATCAAGCGAATAAGTATAGCGCATGCCGTAGATCTCATGTTTTCTTTGTTACTAGCTTTTTCAAGTTACGCGCCTCAAATGGAATCAAGCGTCCTTTTGTATGTGCGGAATTAGGATCATTAACTTTCGGTCTTATTGAGGGTGTAGTACGTCATGCACAAACTAAATCTTTGCTATATCAAAAATTTTCGGTAGTGAGCGCACCAGTGGTGGAATAAGCAATCAGCTACGACTGACTGATTTATATGTTCATTGGAATAGATGAAAAATGATACATTTTAATGATTGTCTAACATGCGTTACGAGTTTCTTTTGAAGACAGCAACATCCATCTTGAAGTCAAGCAAACAAACTCGCAGCAAACAACTTCTTTGACTTATAACTAGCATAGTCTCTATAAAATTGTTAACTATAGCCCATAGCTTATGCCTAACAGATATCATGCAGAATTACTTCTTATTGCAAACTGACCTCTCTTTCCTTCTCCGGGTTGCTATAGAACTTAGAGTTAGAACTCTTGTCTGGATGAAACTTGTCTCTCCACTCGGCTTTGAAGTAGACAGCATTCACAAGCACAGAAAGAGCACCTGTTTAAAGATGTATTGGCAGACATTGAAGAGAAAGGATTAACAAGTCTGACCTTCGATAGTATCCGCTCTAACAATATTTTCCAGTTTTCCAGCGGTAGCATTGCTGATGAATTTGTTGATCACCTGAATGTTTTATGACTTGCTGCCGAATTCTGCATCGATATTTGCTAGACTCTTGATAAACCTGCGTAGTTACTGTTATCAAGGACATCGTGTTCGTATTGCAAACGAAAACATAAAGTGCCTACCTCGGCTGAATCTGTAGCGTTGTCCGTCAAGTCTAGAAATTCGATTGCTGCTGAGTAACTTTTCATGATGTCATTCCTGTACTGTTTTTCAATGTCAAATTTTCTGCTGAAAGAAGCCAAGAATTTGCCTTGCCTAATCTACTTGTTAAAAACTAATAAGGAACGCATATCACTTTAAGGGGCTATTTAAACGGAGATGTATATCAATGAGCTTATAAGGAGAGCTACCTGACTTAACTTTGCCTTTTAGCAAGTGACATATATATTCC